TTCAATGTTACCTAAAAAAAATTATCATGATTACTCAACATGCTGCAGATTATTTATTTATTTATTTATTTATTTATTTATTTATTTATTTATTTATTTATTTATTTATTTATTCAATTGATACTCAAAGGTTTTAAGGATAAAATCATCATCATTTATTCTGGAAAATTGTTGTATGGTATAACCTCATCATGTGAAAAGCATTAAAGCCTGCATTCATAATAAATATATTACAGATAATGAATAAAGTAACAGTTCAATAGAATAGGAACTGCCACTTAAATTTAAGGTAATCCTCTATGACTGCTTAGCCATCCTAGCATTCTTCCTAAACAAACAAGCATATCAATCATAACTTTGATGTTAAAACTAAGTACATCCAATGAAGATGAACAATGGTATATTTTAGACTGAAGAAAGAAATGGATCATTAAATTAATTTAGTTTCATACTATGTGATGATAGTGACCATGATTAAATTACATTTAAAAACTGATGGAGAATAAGGTTATTGGTCATAATTATTCCTAAGGATCAATCATCAGAGGCAGTATTGTTCTTATTTTAATTCATTTCTCAGTGCATATGCTACCCACCACAGATGATGGTGATGATGATGACGATGATAGTGATGATGCAATGCAGTTTAAAATCTATCAAAAGATGAAAAGCTCAAAGTGATAACAGTGATTTATCATATGATAAACATCAGTGTGGAAACATATTGCCCATTTATGAACAGCTTTTACTGTTGTGTTATTTTTATGTTAAGTACTTTTCATGGGCATCTGATTGAGATGTCTGTGGTATAATTGAGAAGAACCTTTTCTATTTTAGAAAGATTTCCCCCTTTTTAACTTTCAAATAAATTGCTATCTCCAGCAATAATGTTTGGTTTTTTTCTATGAGAATGTGGCATTTTCTTTTTGCAGCTGGGTCTGTTCCTTCAAATGCCTCTTTTTTGTTGTAAAGTTGGATTGATCACATCAATGGCTGCTATACAGAAAAATATAAACAGTTTATCTGCAGTTAAAAATTTACAAGCCATATAGTCTCATTGTGAAGATTAATGTGTTTTTGAACAGAAGCTGCTTGAGAAACACGATTGTGCTGCAATGAAACAGACGATGCTCAAATACACACAGACACACACACACACACACACACACACTTTGGAGAATTAATTCTTCCCAAATATATATATATATAATAATAATAGGTCGAAGAACCGAGCTAGTTAAAGCTAACCTTGTATGGCTATAGTTTTAGTATCTTCATAGGTCACTTGTTAATCTCCATTCTGTATATTATCTGCTGATTTTATTACACTATATTTATATTTTAGGTTGTATTTTGTCATAGCTTTTGTTGTTATATTTCACCAATATTTTTAAAGAAAGGAGTAAAAATAGATAACCGCATAGACTTTGAAGTTGCCTATCAATCATTAGCCCTTAGATAGCAGAGTAGATATGAAGATCATCTGCTGAAAATCCTCATAGGGCAAAACGTATTTCAGCATAAGATGGGAGGAGGGAGGAGAGGGAGAGGAAGAGGGAGAGGGAGAGGGAGAGGGAGAGGAGGAGGAGGAGGAGGAGGAGGAGGAGGAGGAGGAGGAGGAGGAGGAGGAAGAGGAAGAAGAAGAAGAAGAAGAAGAAGAAGAAGAAGAAGAAGAAGAAGAAGAAGAAGAAAAAGAAGAAGAAGAAGAAGACTTTGTTCAACCTTGTCAATGTACCAAATCTAAATCTTCTAGTTAATTTTTAGTCAATTTTATGATCCCATTTCCAAAAATAAATGCCAAAAAACATGCATATGGCATATATTTTAAAAAAGGAGAGGAGGATTTAGCAATTATTTTGTTTTTCTTTTGTATGTTATGAGATTTCAGGAGCTGTGGTTGCTTGAAGGACCATGATTGAGTTCTGGGGGTTTTGTCTGTTTTTGTTTGCTTGTTTGCTTTTATTTTATTTTGTTTTTTACTCTATTATTGATCAGTAGAATGGAAAACAGGTTGGCTCAGGGTGCTTTCTTTTCTTAGCTTTCTGAGCCCAAAAAGAATGAATGACACTTCAATAACCTCTTGTAATGGCATGTGAGAATGACCTTGAGAGACAGGAAGAAGAGAAGCTGTCTAAATACTATACTTTTTGGAGTATAAGGCACACTTCCCCACTCCAAATGTGGGTGAAAATTGTGGTGTATTTTATACACTGAATGTTGTCGAAGCCCCGCCCACCCGCCGACCCCCATCCTTCGGCTATTTTTGGCCTCTGGGTGTTGCATTTTCGGCCTCTGCACACCTCATTTTTGGCCTCCATGCATTGCATTTTCAGCCAATTCCAGGCAGCGGGGAGCGGTAGTAGCAGCGGGGATCCCCACTGCCTGGAACTGGCCCAAAATGCGATGGATGGAGACCAAAAACAGGGCATGCAGAGGCCAAAAATGCAACACACGAAGACCGAAAACGCAATGTGCGAAGGCAGCAATTGGTGGCAATGTGCTGTGGCAATCCCCGCACCTTGGACAAGTCTAAAATGGATTGTACAAATGCCAAAGATGCAATGTGCTGAGGCCAAAAACATGGTGCGCAGAGGCAGCGATACGCTCTAGCGATCCCTGCAGCCTGGAACAGCTGATTGATAGTATTCCGGGAGGCCGATCCAACCACCAATCAGCTGTTAGTGCTAAATCAGGCTGTGATAACGTGCTGAAGCTTACCAGGATGTTTGCTGTTTACTGCAAGGATGCTAGCCAGATGAATACCGATGAATGCTGGTAGGCAGAGGCAGACATTTTTTTTCTTATTTTCCTCCCCAAAAACTAATGTGTGTCTTATACTCGGGAGTGTCTTATAATCCGAAAAATACAGTATATCTCATGAAAAAGGTATTACAGATTCCAAAAGCAAAGGGAATATGAAAACCATCTCACAAGGGATGCTAAGTTTACTGGAAATTAAAAGTAAAGGAGGAGAGAGGTGTTTTCAGACTTCCAATATTCTGTTCCTATAACCTTACAATTAATGAGGTGTTAGTAGTCATAGTTTATGCTTCTTCTCAAAAGCCTGACACCTGCAGACCAGTATTTGAAGGATTAGGTAGGGGAAAAGTGAAAACTATCACATAAAAATTCTTTTAATTAAAAGATGGGTGAGTGGCAGTTTGCTGAATGTCATTTCTTTCATTTCACAATAATCTGTACCTTCCCTAGCACTTCACACATCAATTAAATTCTAAGGAGAAACATCTGAAGCAAACTCTTTCCATGGGAATTTTTCAGAAGAAAAATGCAAGATTGCTAAAGATACTAGCTGGACACCTGTGCTTCACTATGAAACTATGTACTCGGGCTTGATAAATTGACACAGCCTGAAACTTAATGTAGAATGTGTAACTCCGTAGCATCAGAGTGTGTTAATATAATGCAACTGGCAGTTGGAACAGAGGGGGAGGGGGAGTAGAATGTCCCAGCCTGCAGCATCCATTGGTATTCATCTGGCTAGCATCCTATCAGTGAGTGAGTGAGTGAGTTGAGGGGTGTTTGGAAACTCAAACAGTATTTGCTGTGTGAGCAAGAAGGAGACAGGAAGGAGGCTGGGGGTGGCTTAGCTCAACTGTTCTGTAGTAAAGCTGCTTGCTGCTGTGAAAGTAAAACTGAAAGTGAAACTCCTCTGCTTGTGTTTTGCATTTGGAACAGATTTCTTTTCAGATGGGGAGGGGGAGTAGAATTCCTTAGCATCAGAGCATGTTAATAATAATATAGGAAATACTAATGCTCTGATGGTCATTTCGAAAAATCCTTTCTTAGTGAGCACCTAGAAGCCAAGAGGAACATACATGGCAAATTTCAAGTTTGTAGGCTTTACGGTTCTGGAGATTTCATAATTACGGCGTGAGTGATTTTTGCTTTTATATATGTATAGATATATATATATAGTGTCTATGTGTGTGTGTGTGTGTGTGTGTGTGTGTGTGTGTGTGTGTGTGTATGTATATGTCTTTTTTCTTTTTCGTAGGCTTTTATGTGCATATTCTGGCTAGAAAGAATATGCATATATGTATATGTATATATATGTGTATATATATACATACACACACACACACACACAGAGACACATATTAATAATAACTGCAACCAGTCCATATTGTAACAACAAGGAGAGGGAGGGAGGGAGGGAGAATGAGAATATATGGTGGAATCCCCAATAGTTATACTTTAATTAACTGAAATGAATATCTACAAGATGAAATTTAGTTATAATAATTAGTCTTACTCATTAGATTCACTTGATTACTCCAGAGCCCAACTATTCTAATTTACCTAAACTGGAAATCAGTAAAGGAAGACATTAAGAGCCATTTATTTCCTGCCATAATTATGGTGGCTTCAGTACTTTAAAAAAGATCTCCAGTCAAATAAGTGCTATTTATATTTTACTTCTATTTCATTTTACTGTCAGATTGATTAGATAGCTATGTTGTCATATATTAATTGCATACATACACACTGTATTTCCAAACTATTTTCTGTTTCTTTAAATAGCTGTTTTCATTTGTAGGTAAATTTGCAATACTTGCCTTCTTTTCTGCTCTTCATTTTTCTGCCTTCCATCATCCACTTTTCTTTTTTCTTTGTCTGGATTTGCAATTGATTGTGAAACTAGTTCAGTCACCTATGAACACGTTTGAAACTGCACTGACAGCTACTCCCAGTTTAACTTGTGTTTGTGCTTTCAGCTTATAAAAATGCTGGACAACAAAAGCCAGGTATATTTCTTTTGATTAGTTCCCATTAGGTTTATAATAAAAGAATTTGCTTTATAAATTATTTGAAGAGAGAAAAGCATTTTGGAGACCTCAGCAGGATGGATTATGGCATTTTTAGTTACAAGACAGCCAAGCTGCATGTATGTGAATGGTATTTTTACTTCCACTATCATCATGTCAAGAGAAAACTCCTCCCACACAGGCTCCTTCAGAGATGGTCTCATTGAGTTATACCTTTGAATATTTGATGGAAAGTTTGTCTTCCTTGTTCTGCTGTAGAGGTTCAGAGAAATGGTCTACCTGTAAATTTGACAAATAACATTAAAAGGTCTTTGTTATCCATCGCCAGATCGCTGTTCATTTTTCAACAGTCAAGAGTAGAGATGAGCAGATCGATATAAATAGTTCATTTTACCAATCCGCATCACAAATGTATTATTCACATTAGTTTGGTGGTATTCTGCTCTATCATTGTCTTAGAAATATATCAGTTTTCATTCATAATTCTCCTTGATGTACAGAATTTTGGTGTACAACTTCACCTAATATCTATTTTTTCTTTTGCACAGACCCCTCAGCAAAATCCTTTGAAATGCACAATCCCCTGTTATTAGTCCTTCTTACATAAATTTCACAGAAAGATACTTTTTTAATGATAGTTTTCAAATACCATTTGTTTGAATATATCATTCACAGAGGAACGAGTGGATTTTTAGCATACATTCTGAGCAGAAGAAAGAAAAATGAGCAGAAGGAGCCTCCGTTCAATCTGGGATAAGAATGAAGTTTATTCCAAACAGGAAATTAAAGTGAAACTACTATACTGTATTACCATGAAATGTTGAGATTTATTGGAAGCCAATTTTAGAGGGGAGGTGAACGACAACTGAATAAATGAAAAATTTATAAGAAAAAAGTTGGGAAGTGAGAGAAGTCCTGAAAAAAATAATTCTTCCTATGCATGTAATTGGTACATCTATTCCAAAATATAAAAGACCAAATTGCTTTATAATTGGCATTGTGCTGTCAGTGGAGGGGAAAGGCAGTTCTAGTTCAGCTCAGATAAACCTACTTAATCCTCACATCTCAGAATGCTAAGTAATGAGTAGTGTTTGGAAGGGAGATCACTAGGAAATCCCAGGAATATTGTATAGACTTCTCCTGAGAGAATGCATAGAAAAACCACGTAGTACTTTTGCCTACAAAACATGAATAAGTCCCCTGAAATCAGAAGAAATCAAGTCTTTATTTTACAATTATAATTCAGCACGATTATGGTTTCAAAAGCAGCAATATGCATAAATCTACAGCAGTCCAAACTAAAGACTGAAAATCTAAGAATGTGGAGCTTTTTACCAAAATTAGAATTGAGCAACAGGATAGCAGGGCCTTTTTCTGTAGCTCCTAGAGTCCCTCCTCACAGTAAAAGCTGCAAATCAGTGACACCGTTTTTCACAATTTTTCTGTAAAAAAACAAACAAAAACAGGCTAAGTAGAAGTAAAGTTCAAAATATTCTAGCCTAGTTCTAGATTCAAGATTAAAATTCTAAAATATGCCTGGAACCCAACCCAACCCTTCATGCATATACAATTTTTCAGTACATACCAAGCCAAATAAAGTCTATATCCATGATGGCGAACCTATGGCACATGTGCCACCTGTGGCACACGAAGCCATATTTGTGGGCACACGACTGTTGCCCTAGCTCAGCTCCAGCGTGCATGCTCATGCTGGCCAGCTGATTTTCAGGCCTGCCGGGCCCACTGGAAGTCAGGAAACTGGCTGTTTCCAGCCTCTGGAGGGCCTCCGGGGGGGGAAAGGCCGTCTTCACCTTCCCCAGGTTCCAAGAAAGCCTCTGGAGCCTGGGGAGGGCGAAAACCGGGCCTACTGAGTTTACCGTGCCATCGCATGCCAAAAGCAGAGGGAGAGTGGGGGAGGTCATGTGCGTTTGGGTGGGGGGCGGAGCACATTGAATTATGGGTGTGGGTATGTGCAGGTGCTCCCCCTGCGCTCCCCCTGCTTTTGGCACGCGATGGCAAAAAGGTTAGCCATCGCTGGTCTATGTGGTTCAGCATCAAAATAGCTCCTAAACTCTGCCCCAGTCTCACACAACAGTAAAATCCAATTGTTCTACCCTTTTTTTGTGACCTTGTCACCAATGTTCTCATTTCTCTTCTGTGGCAAAAGAAAACATACATACAATTTCTGGAGGACATTATAATATCCCATTGAAGATTCAGAACACCATGTCTCTATATATCCCCATATAAGAGGAGTCACAGGTGGCTTATTTTAGGAGCATGATGAGTTAGGTAGGAAGTGAACAGCATGAACCTCATCTGAAGGTATAAGTTACAGTGACCATGGAGAGAGCTTTCTGAAGAGTCAGAAATTATTTTAAGCTTCCCGCTTTGGGAAGAAATTGTATACTTTTTTGTTCTCTTATTTCACTGAATTTCCTCTGAGCAGCTCTCTTTGGCTTAAAATCAGAAATCTGTATTCTGGTGACCATCAGGTTTTTGGTAAACAATAGTTCCCAGAATTTAGCATGTTGTTGCTATAATGAGCAGAGTTGTCACTGTGGGGAATGAAAGAGATGCAAAAGAAAGCTTAACCAGTCAGACTAACAGAGCAATATACTGGAGATGAGAAAGTCAGCCTGGCTTTGATTTTCAAAATTAGGCATTGCTTTAGATCCTAAAAAGCAACATAAGGGAGCAAGTAGCATTTCTTATAAGCTACTTAGAAAGTTTAATCCAGAACTCACAGGGTCCTTCAAACAAAACAAAGTCTTAGAAGCTGATTTACCAGTATGGCAGAGAGAATAAAATAGTATTTAAATAGTATGTAAAATAGTATTTAAAAAATCCATTCTAGATTTCACTAGTAGTTTTTCACCACCGTAAAGAAGACAGCATAAACGGCATTCACTAGCATCCATCTTTGTTTGGTCAAAACAAACAAATAAATACGAGTATTTGTGAGATGAATATGTTTCTATAAATTCCATATAAAATGCTATATAGACTAAAATATATATAATTTACGGCAATAATTTAAGAGAATTTTTTTCGTAAAATGATGTATAGATGGCAATTGACACCTGTATAACCTTAAAAAATGTGTAAGAACATATCAGGAAAATGTTGGAAATGCAAAAAAGAGAGGAAAAATAAATATATCATTATATATCATATCATTAATAATATATATAATATACAGTATATTTTATTTAATATAATATCATATAATTTATATATTATATAAAGAACTTATTATTATATATAGTGGACTTGGAATCCTTTTTCAGATGAAACTACAACCATATTTGTTAGGGTATATGGAAGAATACCTGAGTAAAAAACATGGTGTCTTATTCTTATATATTATAACTAGGGCAAAATTATTATTGTTAAGTACAGAAATGGAAAAATAAAGAAGCTCAAAACGTTGAAGATCAGATATTTAAAGTTATGGACTTGTCAGAAATGACTTACTGATGTGTCTGTAGAAAGAAATCTACAGAGGTTTTTATTAAATATTGGTGTCTGTTTATGGATTATACTACAAAAGTAGAAAAAACTAGCTTGAGTATAAAGGCTTTTATATATTAAATAAAGAAAAAAACTAAAAAAAGTTTTAATAACATTATTTTATATAAAATAAAATACTATTTTTTAAAAAGAGAATTGCTTTTATTAGGACAGAATCCATTTAAAATCTAACATGGCTTCTTTATAGGGAAGGAAAACAATGGCTTGAAAACTGCATTGCCCATGCATTTCCTTTTGCATACTGATGGCATTGACACAGATTTGAGATATTCCAGATTTTGGCTAAAGTTCTATATATCAGTTGAGTTCTATACAGTAACATTGCTTCAGATTCCATCTATACCTCTGATTCATTTGCATTCATGTGTACATTTCAGGATTTGGGCAATTACAGATGAACTAAATCATTGCACATCATAAATTGCAGGGTTGGAAGACTCTGGGTGTTCCAGCTGCTATTAATTGAATACAAAGAATTAATTGCATTTTAAAACTGCATCCAAAATTAGCAGCTTCTTTGTACAAAAGATGCAGATTTGTCAATGTGTTGTCATTTTTGACATGGCGAATTCCACTCTAAAGGCACCCCCTTTTCTCCCCAAGCCTTGTTATTTAGTCGAAAAAATAAATTTTCAAGGACCAGAATCCATTTAAAGTTACAAACTTCACAAATATATTTTTGAAGTTCCAATTTTGTGACTTTCAGTGACTTTAAAAGGAAATAATATCTCAGGTTACTAGTATGGGATAGTGGCAGTGGTGGGTTTCAGTTTTTTTTACTACCGGTTCTGTGGGTGTGGCTTGGTGGGCATGACATGGCTTGATGGGCGTGTCTTGGTAGGCGTGGCAGGGGAAGGATACTGTAAAATCTCCATTCCCTCCCCACTCTGGGGGAAGGATACTGCAAAATCTCCATTCCCTCCCCAATCCAGGGGAAGATTACTGCAAAATTCCCATTTTCTCCTGATCAACTGGGATTCGGGAGGCAGAGAATAGATGGGGGTGGGGCCAGTCAAAATTTTTACTACCGGTTCTCCAAACTACTAAAAATTTCCGCCACTGGTTCTCCAGAACTGGTCAGAACCTGCTGAAACCCATCTCTGATGGAGAGGGAAAATGGGAAAATCTTAAAAAATAATGACACATTACGAAGTGGCCATCAAGTGATTGGCTGCAGCTTGTCAGTGAAGAAGGTATGCACAGAAGAGAACCATGAAAAAAACATCTTGTCTCATTTCAGATAATGTAGTTCTATTGATCACCCAGCTTACCTTTGGATATCTTTGCCTTATCCCTATTTGTTATTGAGGAGAAAAATAGAGCAAGGAGTGCTATATACCTCACCTTACTTCTGGAAATTAATCACAACAAAAAAATAAAGAGATAAATTAATAAACAATAAAAAACCACCTATCTTATAAGTGATTATGACAGTCTACCTCGGACAAGATGTACCTTGACTGGTGTACCCAGCAAAGCAGAAGCTGGCTAGTCATTTCTCAAGGATGACATTATTTCATTTTGTACTGAAAATCCTGCATTAGTTAAAAAAGATTGGTCTGGAAGACATCCAAGATCCATCCAACCTGTAATTTCTAAACTATTTAATCATATGCCTAAATATTTATTGCCTGAAACTGATTGTTCAAATTACTAATATTTCTGGACCAATGCCTCGTGTATTTTTTACTTGCTCTTCATTCCGTTGTTTATTTCTATATAATTTGCTCAGGTTGCCGCATGTGAACTCTTCACCACAGTTCATGGTCTCGCAATTTGTGTCATTGTTTCTATTACTTTCATTGAAATAATTGTTATTTTTAATGCACTTCTATCAAAGATTTTCTTAAAGGTGGGCAATTTAGCTCTTCTGCTTTCCACCCGTTGTTTTGAAATAGCATCGTCAATCAGAGTGCATTTGAGAGCCGCAGTATCTTCCAGAAAAAGAAAATGCCGGAGTGAAGATTATAACTTGTCTAAAGCCCTGTGAGGAGCTTTGCAATGAGAAGTGTGTGTTCTGCAGGTGGAAAAACTTAAATTCATTCATTGGCAGTTCTTTTTTAGAATTCCAGGGAGCAGCTGCTAAAAGACATGTACCCTACCCTACCGGTAGGGTAGACACCACATACAGTACATTTAGATAGCTGTTGCTCTGGCTTACAAAATGTAAAAATAGTCAGTCAGTCCCATTTAACACAAACATTCCTATTTTACCAAAGCAGCAAGAAACCTAACATATCTGCTAGTTTTTGTGAGCATTAAAGAAAATACATGCACTTTATTAGAAATAAAGAGCTTGTAGACATCAAGAGCTTGTGGAAGCAACTGAAACTTAAATGCTTCTTCAGTTCTAGGCTTCTTAAGATTGATGTAAATCTTATCAGACATGAAATATGGGAAGATAAATCAATTGAAAGCTATATTAACAGAATCTTGCATGTTTGAGAGTACAATTCTCCCTTTGTCACTTTTACAGGCTGATAACCAGTGATGAAATCCAATTCTTTTTTACTACCGGTTCTGTGGGTGTGGCTTAGGGGTGTGGTGTGGCTTGGTGGGCATGGCTTGGTGGGCATGGCAGGGGAAGGATATTGCAAAATCTCCATTCCCACCCCACTCTGATCCCAGCCAGAGGTGGTATTTGCCGGTTCTCCAAATTACTCAGAATTTCCACTACCGGTTCTCCAGAACCTGTCAGACCCTGCTGGATTTCACCCCTGCTAATAACCTAGGTAGGGTTCCTCCTGAGTCTCTGGGCAATGCTCTCTCTTAATCTGACTGTTCCCTAGGCAGTTTCTCTTTGTCCAGTCTTGAAAGGTCATTGCCACATAGCATCACACGACTTTATTATATTAAAAATAAATCTTTTTAGTTGATTCATCTAGTCTGGTGTTGATGGTTTCTCTAA